ATCAAATACTAGTATTAAAATTATAAAGTTATAAAATATAAGTTTATGAAAATAATAGCATATTTAGTCGACTCAGCTTTTATGCTTGCGTTTGCGTTCAACTCTAATAAAATGTGAAATTATAAAAAACGATTTGCGCTTAAAACTATACTACACAAAAATCGACTCTAAAAGCAAAGAAAAACTAATTAGGAATTATATCATTACTTTTTAATGAAATTTTTAAATTAAACTCACAACAATGTGTGTCATAAATTGCTTTAATATTTGCAAAACAAAACCATGTGCTTTATATTATAAATACATAATAAGCAAAGGTAAACATTAAACCAAACAGACAGAACGCTAATTAAAATATGAATAAAACTAATTTACTAATTTAATGTGATGCAAATCAAAACAATAGAACAAAGCGCTGCAAATATCAAGATACCAACTTACATATATATTTACATACAGTCATTGTATATAAGTGCAGTGCAACAACAAATATAATCAAATTTAAAATAATAGCATACACACAAACATCTCTCTATATGTTATATAACAAATTAGCTTACAAATTAAAACTAATATAATTTAAATTAACTTAAAACCATAACAAAACAAAACAAAGTCAATTTCCAAACAAATGAAATTATAATGTTCCTGTGTGTTGCAGATGCAAATTTTTCGGATTTTCCATATATACAATATCTAACACGTAAGTTTTAAATTCTGCTGGATTGTTTGACAGAGCGAAAATGAAATTAATTGCATACTATTTAAAGACGTGGTTTGTGCCTAGAAATTCACTTATTGCGTTGACTTTCCGTTTTGTAGTTATGTAGGTGGTGTGCAGTGATTTTAGTTAAACAAAAAGTTGAAAAAAAGACTCTCAAATTGACAGCGCTTAAACGTATACTTCAATTTTCGTAGAGAGGGCAATATGGATAATAAGGGCTTAAAAAGATTGCAAAAAATTTAGGATCCCTGTTAAGTTTTTTCTCGTGAAATCGTAGAGGCATATTTAAGGTTCTACTTTTTGAACAAAAAATTGCATAATTTTAGGGTTTATGTGAAGCGCTTTTTGGCGAAATATTGTATAGACATTATTAAGGTTCTACTCTTTAAAAACTATTGCATTCTTTTAGGGTTGCTGTTAGAAATGTTCTTGGAAATTATATAGAGACATACTTTAAGTTATACTGTTCAGAAGTGTTGCATAACTTTAGAATATCTGGTTGTTTTCTGTTAAAAACTTTCTGATTTAATTAATGTAGAAGCATATTTATATATTTTACCCTTTCGACAATTGCATACTCTTAGGGTTGCTGTTAAGAGCTTTTTGATGAAATTTTGTAGAGGCATATTTAAGGTTCTACTCCTAAAAAATTTTGCACATTTTTAGGGTTGATGTTCTTGTACTGGCAAGAGGTTTCAAGTGCAAATTTTTTAGTGGCATGCTTAAGAATCTTCTCATTCAAAAACATATGCAGATTTTTTTACATTAACGTAACATTTTTAATTCCGCAACAGCATTTCACTTTCCTACTACACACTGCTTTCTGCACATCTTTAATTAAACAATTTAAATACACATTAATACAACTGATATATGTGTGGTTGCCTGCGTGGAGCCACCATTGACCAACACTTCAATGTAAATACCAAAAGCATTTTCACTCTCGGTACCGTTATAAATATTTATTCATGAAAAATTAATTTTGCATTTCGCGTGCTTAAACTAAATGAAAATGCAACAACAACAATCACTGTCGCTTGCAGTAATACAACAGAACTCCATTAAATATTACATATAATTTTAATGAAATGGTGAGAATCCAAAAAAACTGTTATTAAAAAACACAAACAAAAGGCTAAAGATAAAATAATAATAATAATAAATAAATAATTGTGCATGTGTAGGTGAAAGTCAGGATATGTCAGCGCAATATACATTTTACAACGGGATGTGCTATAAATGGCACACGACGATGCGTTTGCAGTAAATTTATAGAAAGAAAAAAAAACTACGACAGACAAAAATAAAAAAATACAAAAATTGAAAAATAAATAAAAAGTTGTAAAATATAAAAATATAAATTCAAAAAATGCGAGTTGCAATAAAAACTGCAAAAAACTACATACATATATACGGAAATTAATGCCGGGAATAAGCTCATATACTTACAGATGTGTGCATAAAAGTAAACACAAAAGCGCACAATTTCGCATACATAGCCATTTTAGCGCATATTCTTTCTGTTTGAGCGAAATCTTTGCTCTTCGTGACTTTTGCGCATTTTCGCACAGCAAACAAAGCCTTCAAAAGTAGACGACAATGATGCTAGGTACTAGGTGCATGTTTATGTGCGGCTGTAGGTGCAATTTTATATATTGCGCATAGGTAAGCTGTCGGCTGTCCAAGGGTTAGCAAAAAAGTTGCAATTCCCTTGTTATATAGACTACTTTTTACAACCATCATAGTATGTAGAAGCATACATTTAGGGGTGATTAATGAATTTTACAAATAATTTTTTTGTAATTGACTGATTGACTAATGTGTATGAAATCGCATTATTAAGCACAGCATACAGAAGACTAGTCAGTATTGTTAAATTTCAATACGCATTAATACGAAAAACTGCAAAAAATATAACTTAAAAGGTAGTAGCAAAAAGTATAAGCAAAAGCCAATATAACATTCTGTGACATAACATAACTTAACAAATATAGCATCACATAGTTTGAGAAAGGCAACTTTTAAAAACAAAATGTAGCATAACAGTGGCTATACAAACATAATAGGAAATGCATTACATAACATAGCTTAACTTATGAAAACATAACTCGATATAGCATAACATAACTTCAATACAGCAAGTTATGATACTTTAAAAAGTTATAACAAAAATATTCCAAAAAACAAACATAACACACTGTTACATAACATAGCATAGCATAACATAGCATAGCATAAAATAACATAGCACAACATAACATAGCACAACATAACATAGCATAACATAACATAGCACAACATAACATAGCATAACATAACATAGCATATCATAAAATAGCATAACATAACAATTTTAGCTTCATATAATATTATAAATGGTTTAAATAACATAATATATGTTGATGACGTGACCTAAGTTAACATAGCGTAACATAACATTACTAAAAAATAAAAACTTGACACAACACAACATAACATAACAGAGCATAACATGACAACAAGACATAACATGACATAGCTTGAGAAATACAGCTTATAAAAAGAAATATAACAGTCCGTGCTTAAAATTATGTAACATATGTAGATGACTTAAATTAACATTGCATAATTTTACTCAAATAAAACGTAACATAACCAAAAAAAAAAAACTTTAATATAACTTTAATTATACGAAATTTTGTATACATTACTTAACTCAAGAAAGTAATTAAATATTGCTGAAAAAAAAAATCTTTTTTTTTATATATAAAACTAAAAACTAAAAATTTTATTCAAAATTTTTATTATTCTAAATATACATATTTACAAAGATATTGTGAAAAATTTAAAGAAAAATATTTAAAACTCGGCCGTTACGACGTCAGGGATTGCCGGAAACGCTCAGAAAGAAGGGGCCTCCGCGTCGACAGCAGAACTTTTTAGAGTATCATCAAAAGTAAAAAGAAAAAACGTGCTTTAGTTAAGACCATCAACAAGTACTGCATGAAGAAAAAACAAGAAAAGCGAAAATTGTATTTAGCAGACCTATAAAAAAAGTGTTAAAATTTCTCTACTTTTCTTTTTAATAGTTATAATCGAACAAAAAAAATCCTTCGTTCAAGAACTTGTAACTTATAGGTATAGTATTAAATAAGACAATAAACAAAATTTTGTTTGAAGCCGTGAAACCCATGTAACACCTTAAGTAACAGAAATTGATGTCACCTGTAAGTAAGGCATCTGCATATCATAACAAATTATCATATAACTTAACTTAACTTAACTTAACGTAACCCGACATAACTTAGCTTAACTTAACTCAACATAACTGAACATAATTTAACCTTACTTAATTTAACGCAACTGAACATAACTTAATTTAGCGTAACTTAACATAACGTAATTCAACATCGGAACAAAATAATTTTTTGCTTAATTTAAATTTTCAAAACAAGCGATAGATGAAAATATATAGCAGTACATATCAGAATCACATATTATAATAATGTGGATACATATAATTTATAGCTTGCATGTATTAACAAACAATAAAAAAAACCTAAAGAAGCAGAAAAATTAATAGCACTACAAGGAAATCATAAGCGCATCTATATAAAATTTTCTAATGCTACCATAAAGAGTGAATATGCATATGAGTACATATCTACACATACACAAATACAATTAAATACTGTGTTATTCTAAATTTTTTTAAAATATTTTTCGGTTTTTTTTTTTAAGTTTACTCTTTGATACACATACATATGTACATACACATATACATATGTTATGCTCAACCTAGATGCAGGTGCAGATATAACACTTGTAGCTATGCACACACACACAAACAAACATACAAACAATGAATGCTTTGATTTGTTTAGAGACTTAGCGGTAAAGCTTATTACGTGCTCTTTTCCAGCATTGCAGCACTCTCGCTTGTGTATTTGTGGAGCGAAATTCTGCATTTTTTGCAGCTTAAAATTGCTCATGTGTATGCGTTGGTGATAGGGTTTGTGGCATTATGTAGAAATGGAATTGTGATTTTTTTCCATAACACCTGTCTTTTACAGTTCGAATGCATCGGTTCGGAGATATTTACAGTTTGGTTTGCCGATTTCTAAGTCGCAACGTGCTTTTTTCAATTTAAGGCATTGCTAGAAATTTACGCGCTACTTTTAGCTTTGGCTCTAAGCTGTGCCAACGGTTCGCTCATCGTTTCTCACATCGATCTTCTGCACGATTTTTATTTTCTGAATATTACTAATTTTCATTTCACCCTTTTTCTATTCCGTAGATCCACCGGAGATCATCAAGAAACCACAAAATCAGGGTGTACGCGTTGGCGGTGTGGCAAGCTTCTACTGTGCTGCACGTGGCGATCCACCACCATCGATTGTTTGGCGCAAGAGTTCGAAGAAATTATCTGGTGAGTAGAAACATGGTTAATCATTTAAGAGATAATAAATTATTTGAAATTGTACCCATGTAACTAACTAGAGTTGAATATAAAATTATTAAAATAAGCTTGCAACACTTAATTTCAATAATTTGTCTTTCAGGCACGCAATCCCGTTATACGGTTCTGGAACAACCCGGCGGTATTTCCATACTACGCATAGAACCAGTTCGTGCCGGTCGAGATGATGCACCTTACGAATGTGTAGCAGAAAACGGCGTTGGTGATGCAGTATCAGCTGATGCTACTTTAACGGTTTATGAAGGTAACTGAAATGAGAGTTTTTTTCTTTGAAGCCGAGAGATGATAAACTAAATGCCATATATTGGAAAGAATATGCGAAGATATTAAATATCAGACAGTCTTTACAGGTTTCGTATAGACTAAAGTGAGGATAAAAACACGATTGTAGCTTTTTCTTCTATTTCATTAATCCCGCCCTGTCTCTCACTTTCTTTGTCATAAATACTAAAGCTTATTTATTCTTTTTTGTTACGTTGTGATAAGAAAGACATTATCTCCATCAGGGCATAAGCAGATAAAGAGTCAGTTAAGAGAATAATTTATTGCAATAACATCGACAAGCAAATATCCAAATTTTGAAGTAGCAGTGGGATTTAATGACTATTCTACTGACATGCAATGGTGATGTATACCCTTCACACTTAAATGACAACATTTTGGCCATGCTGATACCCAGAAAGTGCTTTTTGAAAACAGTTAATGTGAGATATTCCATCTGCCTCTCTATGACGTGATGAGAGTGTAGTGTAGAGAGGAATATGAATGTTGCTATTTTGAGAAAGATGAGAGCTTGTGCATTCGCAACTTATACAGAGCCTCAGATTTTTTTTAAAATATTTTTTAATAAATAATATATTTTTCATGAATTTCTTGCTTACATTTTGATGATTTTGATCGATATGCAATCTGCTCGCATACAGTTATTACTCAACAAAACACATTCCTAATAACTAGAATATTTAAAAAATATATTTTTAAATTATAGACATAAAGCAAAACCGCTAATCTTGACATTATAAGCTTTGACAAATTGTTGCTGCTGAAGTGCTAGTAACTGCTAGCTATCAGGAAAAAAAAGAATGCGAAAATTTACAAGTTATTCTTACACAGAGCAGAAGAAATTTCACATCTGCTTGTTCGGTTATTTCTTGTCCGGTTGTTTCTTTAATTGACAGTACTTATTTTCTTCTAGCAAGAACCACCAGCTTTATCTTCTTACTATCGCAATTTGTGTTCCCTTCTACTAGTTTCTTGGGTTAAGAAACACTTTTGCAGCAGAAATTTGACTAGCTAGTGAGTAGTTCACCGGTCAGAAACAAACCTATTTCATATATGAATTTAATCATGCTTTTTTGTTTCAGAAATTATTTTATTATTTTTATATCCTAAACAGGGTATATTAAGTTTGCCGCAAAGTTAGTAACACCGACGACAAAGACCCTATAAAATATTTGTATACATGATAATCGTGACGCGCTGGGTCGATTTAGCCATGTCCGCCTATATATCCGTCTGCCTGTTTGTATATACGCGAACTTGACCCTCAGTTTTTGATATATTGCTCTAAAATTTGGCACACATCCCTTTCTTTTTAAGAAGTCGCTCATTTGTCGAATCCATACATATCGGACCACTGTAAGGTATAGCTGCTATACAAACCAAACGATCAAAATTAAGTTCTTGTATGGCAAAATTTTTTATTTGACAAGATATCCCCACGAGATAGGTTATAGGGGAATGTCCAAGACAAGGCTACAATTTCCGAAAATATTGTTCAGATCGGATCAGTATCGCATATAGCTGCCGTGCAACTTGACCGATCAAAATCAAATCTAGATATGAAAAACTTTTTATTTGTGAAGGGTATTTTAGTTTGCTAACGTTTTTTCTTGCTTTGTTTTTGCTTCATATCAAAATAAAACTTTTACGTATGTATATACATATATGTTTACTTGAGTATTTGTGAACATCTTAAGCAAAAGTTACTTACAAAATCATTGAAAAATTTCAATTCCATTTTTCATTAAAAAGTTTGCGTATCGTAACAGAAATTCGTTCAAAGTCTTGAATATCTGAACTAGGTTCTACACGCTCTATGAGAAACGAAAAGAAAACGTAAAATGAAGAACTTGAAGCGACAGCGAAACTGCAAGCAGAAATGAACACAAATAAAAATATTATTCGTAGAATTATGTAGATATATATTAGGGTGGATCTTAAAAAAATTTAATATATATATATTTTTACGGCTGCGCTTAGCTTTTTATCCGATTGAAGGCAGTTTAGTGGGGACCTAATAGCCAATAGATCAGATTACTGCAATAAAACCTAAAACTAAAAACTGATTTTATTCTGCATATCCGATCCAAATCATAAAAAGTGCATACTAAATGAATTGATTTAAAAATTTTCATTACAGTGATGATAATATATACTTGGACGACCCCTCTCTTCAAACATTACCAATCGTAGGAAAAATTTATATGAATGTCTAGCTTAAACTAAAGTAATATTAAACGAAATCTTTCAAAAATTTCCATCTGAACTTGGACCACTCTGCTTAAACATCTCCAATCGAAATCAAAACTTGTGTCATAAACCCGACTCTCTTCTTAGCAAGATTTATGCTTTAGTAAAATAGCAATAAACATTTCCTTTCGCCATTAAAATAACACTATAATATATGTGAATACTCATACTGCTGTTGTATTTATTTGAATATAGCGCTTTCCTTACTTAGCTGCATATGTAAGACAGTTAATTACATGCCTGCTAAAAGTTGTTATCAAGCCCACAAATGTTTACATACACACACACACACACACATGCACATAAGTGTGCCCACATGCCGCACACCCGCTGGCGCGTCTTAGCACTTGATTTAGTTTATTTTACAAACTGTAAATCGTTTAAGGATAAAGTTTTTCGGGTAGTCCAAACCGAACGCCTAATCAACTTAGATCGTTACCGAAAACCAACAAGCAGCTAATAACAACAATGACGGCAACACCAACAACACTGCGGAAACAAACATTCCATACTATATATATTTACATGAACTCTTAACCCAATTCGCTTGCCTATGCCAGTAAACGATTTCTGCCGCCGTCTTCACACTCTTCTTCATCTCTATCTCCGTTGCTGTCATGCTCAAGCCCCACAAATAGCTAATCAGCCTTAACCGAAACTACAGTTTGTGTAAAACTTTTCAAGTGTGATGCTGTCAAAAGCGGATATGCGTGTCGGCGTATATGTATTAGTGTGTGTGGAAAGGAGAAGATTTTGGTTTACTTATATACACACATACATGAGCATCTGTATATATTTGTGTTTTAAATGCTTCAACGTTAAGGTACGATGTATACTTTTCTTACTAAGCCAATATCCGCACACATACTCTTGCATACCTGTTTACATGTACATATGTATAGTTAGTTAGTAGGCTTCACTGCTTATATAAATTGAGTGTTAATTCCTTGGGTTTCAGTTTCTAAGTAGAAAAACTTTTGTCAAGTCAGTTGTATTTATTTGTTGTTTAGTTTCTTTTTTGTCAGCAAAAGTTGGAAATAAACAGGTAATGTTGCCAGGTAGCTTAGGAGACTGCAAAAAAAATAATGATAAATAAAGTGAAACCAAATTATAGAAGGGTAAGTGAGGTTAGTAGAAATTTAACTAAAAATAATTGTTGACCTTTAAAGCTTTAAATGTCATAGACTGAATTTGCTTTTCAAAACGATTTAAGCATAAAATTCCTTAATCGAAAAAAATGTATCTGAATATAATTCTGTAATTCTGTACATAGAAATTTGTCACAGGAAGGCGTTAGATGCCAAAAAATCTATTTCCGTATTCGAGCAGAATTATCCAAATTACAATAGTCGCCATTTAATGAAATCCCAAACTAACGTTAGCATCAAGATCCTACTCATTTGACACCTGCCTGTCTGAATAGGCGATAAGATTATGAAAGGAAAGAAATCTGAAAGAATAAAACAAGGCAGAAAAGGTCATATAAAGCAAGTCATTTAAAATGCTGCAAAGACAGTCAGTGCGGTAGCTGGAGCAAGCCTTAACAATATCTCGGTTTATGGAAACAAAAACTTAGAGCAAACTCGATACCCACATTACTATTATACGAGTAAAGGATAGCCTAACTAAGATATTAGGGCTCAGCTTCCACTAAAAAGGAGTCAATTATAGTCAAGTCATCTGTAGTGGTCAATTATCTCCAGTTTATCCTAAACCTGCTAAATCTAGTTATTTCATTTTATCACATCATTTAAATGGGTTGGGCTTGAAATCCTAGATTTTAGAATCTCCAAAACAAAATTCCAAACTCTAAACTGTTTTTTTTTTTTTTGCATTGGTGACCTTCCGCCGCGCTTTAAAAAAATAACTCTGGCCGATCCGACAACGGTTAGTCTTCAGTTCTTTCGCTTAGAACTCCTTTTTGCATTGGCGATCTTCGACTGCGCTTTAAAAAAAATAACCCATATATTGCCATACTTTATAATTTAAATTTATAGATTTTGAGTTTGGGGATTTTGAATCTGCTGATGTTTTTTATATTGGGAATTTTGTATCTGGCGATTGACTTTTTGGGGGTTCGAGTCTCTTCTGATTTGAATATCGAGTTGAGGCGTTTTAGTCTTAAACTCTTCTGAGGCATGCGGCAAAATATTTGGCCTCACAAATGACTGACAATCGGATAGTGTCTAATGAGAACACTTACTTCTATGAAAAGATTTATTTTACTAGGAGCGATTCGTTTAGATCCAGAGGTAATCTGGTCAGTCTTTAGTGCATGACAAGTGACCATAAAGTCAAGACAACGATTGTCCAACTATCAGATATATCTCTCTATCTACCCACAGTTATATAAGTTCAATCAACTTTACAACTTGGGCCTCATAAGATTGGTTTTGCTCTTTTGCACTAAACTCTTAAAATACAATATAATTTTTTATGCAATTGTAAGACGAAGTCTTATCTTTTTCAAGTTCTAATCCTATTGCTGTCTCTTTAATAAAAAACAATTATAAAATTAGTTAATTTTAATCTATTTTATTTCTATTTTTTTTTTTTGGTTTTTGAGTTAAGGCACTCGTTTGAATCCGCAGTATCATGATGATTATAGCAGTTATTATTGTAGCATTTTGTCTGATAATATTTACTTCTAAGATCACTATGCTAAACTGTCTATTATTACTTTGGGTACGGTTATTATTTCAAGTAAAATCG